CGTGTTCAGAAAATGGATGGATGGATGGATGGATGGAAGTTCTCTGCACAGAAATCTTTTTTTTTACTGTTTTTTAACCAAACTGACAAGTTTCTCCAGTAAAATTATTGCATAATTTAAAGGGATTGAAACACCTGGTTAAATTTTAGAAGATATGATTAACTACAAACATCTGAAGCTGACTCAGAGAAGTGCTTTTAGAAATATAATATATATAAAACACGACATAAATCTCGGTGGAAAATAGTCCAGGATACGCGGGAGGTGTTCACCTGCAGCTGTGTGAAGCTGACCCCCCCACCCACAGAGAAAGAAAAAAGGCAGTAATTATTGATAAGGTAGTAACCATGCTGTGGCTTCACCTGTCGCATTTTCTTTTAAAGAAAGAAAAAGTAGCTTGCAAAGCTGTCGCATCGGTGCTACGTGATTAAAAGCAGAGCTGCGTGTCTAATCTCACACACGTCTTCCTATCTTTGTGAGGACCACACACAGCGTTCAGCCTTGCTCTGCGCCGTCTTCCCCCCCAAGTTTGGTGAGAGGTGGATATGGAGGGTCACAAAAAATAGCTCTCGACTTGAACTGGCCTTATTTAAATAAAAATGACTACATGCCGTGAAATTCTTAGAGGGGCCGGCCGTCTCGTTGGCGGAGGTGCCCACCCCGCCTGTATAATGGTAGGGGAAACACTGGTACGGGTCGGACCAGTTGGTTTTCCACTGATGTTCCAGTCCGGTTCCAATGGGTGTGTTTTGGGCGGTTGGTGGAGGTGGTTTTTAGGTATTTTGAAAAAAAAAATTAATGTGCAAAAATGAGAGATGGAAACACATTTGATAAATAACTTTTGAAATTTTAAACATTTGCAAAAATTTAGCCAATCAGTGACGAACAGTGTTCTGATGTCGCATTTAAGGTGTCAGCTGGGGCCGGTTGGAACCACAATGAAGTAGGTACTAAAAAAAGTGCAGATTCCATGGATCTGGCCTAATGGAAATGGCTTGGAACCGTACCAAACCGTACCGACACTACACWAAGTGGCACTAGTGAAAAAGGGGCATAACTTTTGCGGACCAATCAGAGAGTCTGCAGAACTCGGGCTGAGTGAAAATTCGATAATTCTGTTTATAAAGCTATGAGTGGATCAGGTTCCTAACGACGTTGTGATTATAGCAGTAATTAGATCAGGATAAAAATACATTCCCTTTTTTTCTTTTTTTGACATTGTATTTTTGTTAACAATTCTTTCACAAGATTGAATCAGAGTTCATCATGAGTAATTACGGATAATGTCCACAAGGAGGCACTGTTCGATAACAAATGAATTTACTGACATGTCTTTGATGTTTCGTGCATTCTTTTGTAAGCAAAGCCTAATTACAGTCCTGTTTTTACAGAGGTGATAAGTAGCTGGTGGCTCCACAGAGTCTGTTCTGTGGGGTCTTGAGTGGACATCAAAGTGTTGTTGCTTTTGTTAAAATGACCATTTGGGGCAGTTCAAAGGATGGGTGTTGACTTTAATCACTGGAGACAAATCTTAGTTCAGGCAGATTCGTGCTACACAAATCTTTGTCTGGCCAGGCCTCTTGTCGAAGTTCAGTTGGCGTAGAATACTGATCACAAAGCTGAAGAAAAAGAGGGAGCAGAACATCGGTCCGGCCGACTTTTATGCGGACCAAGGTGGGTACGGGGGCATAGACTATTGGTTCTTCAGAATGCGCGCAAGTGTGAAAGATACCCATCAGCGATAGCCTTAGAGGTTGGAGCTTACATGAAATAGAACAGTCCAAATCAAACGCCTACATTACACATCACTGAAATTTATTGTATGCAGAAAATTCCCGTATTATAAAAATTACGGACGGACGTAAAGAAAAAAAAGCAGCAGCTTCCAAAGCGATTGCACTGGTGCTATGTAGTTTTTTCTTTTATAGTACAGACAGTTTTTTTCATAGCACGTGCGACATATATCACAATGTACGGCCCTGTAAGTTTGTGTTGTAATTTACACAAAAAATAACCATTTAACACTTTATTGAAGAATAACTACAAAAATTTTAATAGAAAAATTATTTTAAATAGGAAAGTGTTTTATACATGGCAAGACGGTATTCAAATTTTATAGCCTCAAGTGAATAAATCCCCTTTATTGTCCATGAAGATGTGGGAAACAGTAGGGATGCACGATAACTTATTTTAAGAACCAATACCGATAACCGATAACTTTTTTCCTTCTAATGGCCAAAAACCAATAAGAACCAATAATAACCAATAACATGCCAGGAGATAAGACAAGTCAAAAATGGGTAAGATCACAACATAAATAAATAAACAAGACCAAAACCAAATGACACTGTAAATTATACTATTTGAAATAAACTCTTAGCAAACAAACACTTCTTAAAATATATCAAACAACAATTTGTCAAATGGCCATCTTTTTAAATAAGGCACGCACATTAATTATAAAAAAAGACCTTTAACACTGATCTCAGATTTAAACAAAAGAGAAAAAGTCGTTCCACAAGTTCAAAAC